GAGGTCGGACAAATCCAGATCTGGGTTCCTTGCTCGCAGGATGTAAATGGACTCGACCGCCCAGTCTGCGGCCTTCTCCTCCATCTCCTCTGACTGATTCTGCATCTCTTCAGTCAGAGTAGCGATCTCTCCCAATTCTCCTGGAGCTCAGCCTCGAGAGCCAACCTTTCTTGTTCGAGGTCCCTATACTTCTTTAGCTCGCTGAGCCGTGCGAAGGTCGCCTGGAGCTCCTGGTCTTTTCTCCGACCTCCTTAGAGAGCTGGCGGTTGTCCTTTGAAGTTCTCTGACTTCCTTCGCACGCCGATCGAGCTCTGCTTTCGGAAGTCCACTGTTCGTTGAGCAGCGCTTTTGGTTCAGATACCTGTTGCCGCTTCAAACGCTTGAGTCCTTTCCGCTTCAACGGACTCCAAACTCTGCTTCAGCTTCGCGGACCTCCTCCTACAGGTCGCTCGTCCCCTTTGCGGTCCCCAGCCGCATTTTTCCATGGACATCCTCATGCAAGCTAGTTTACCTTGCTCAGATGTTGGAACGATGTGGCCATCAGGTTGTCGCCCGTGTCTGCAAATTCGTCGTGACGTCCGATAGCTCGCAATCGAGCAGGCCATAGACTATTGCTGAAGTATTCGGGCAGACTCCCCAATGAGGCTAGAACGGTGTGTCCTTCGCCTTGCCGGCAGCGACCGCCTGCCCACGGTCCTTGCCGATCTCCTGGGTTGCTGGCGCGACTCAGAGACTGTTCCTCAGATTTAGTCTCTGACTCTTCGGGCTGAATCTGTCCTCTTTTCGACCTCTGGGCCGGAGCCTTCCGCTTTGGCGCGCAGTCGGCGCCTGAGCAGCCTGTTCCGTCCTTGTTGCTTCTTGCACAGGACGGGGTTGGGAAGCCGGAACGCGTTGCAACGGCTGTGCCGGGATTGGGCGAGCAGTTCGCTCTCTCTCTCTCTCTCTCCTCGATCTAGGAAAGACAAAGGGTGCTCGGCGGGGCTGCCTGGATTCCTTCGGAGGCATCGTCCTGCATTTAAGTTGTTAGAAAACGAAATCATTCTCCGACCAGAGGGGAACCGTATATTTACCTTCCGGGGTTCTAAAGACGCCTTGTCGCTGAAGAACCCGTACTTCCGCAAGTTAGCGATCGTCACAAGCTTCCTCGCGTCCCGGCTCTCCTCGTCCAGTACTCCAAAGGATACGAGCCTGTTTGGGTCGGCGAGCAAGTTTTCGCTGGTCGTTCTATTAACTGCAAAAGAAAAGAGGTCGTACTACTGATCAAACGAGCAATAATGAACCCAACGAAAGGAAACCTATTGGGTCCTGAAAAGGCAGTGGCCGTTGTAAAAGAAAAAGAAGAACTTTGTCTCGTAAGCCCCCGCGTTGCTGGGATAGCTGTGTATCCCCGCGGCAATGGTAGGTCGCCGAGACAAATAGTACGAGTCCTTATCCCTGCTCTTTTAAGATAATAGGCGATGCCGAGCTCCACTGCCGTCGGCTCACCAAGCCGTTTTCGCAGCACGCAATATACATCGCGACAGCGATGACGTATGCGTTTGGCGTCAGCTGCATCGGTGCGATCCCGAAAGATCCAAGACCGACCTGATAAAAGGATGGAAGGGAATCTCCCTCCACCCTTGAAGATCTCCTCAGAGATCGCGGCAAGGCCTCAGCCGGGCGCCGTGACGGCCTAGTGTGGTCGAGGAACACCTCCATTCGCGATGTCAAACTGCCTTTATTCTATTATACTCCGGTGGTGAGGACCAAGTAGACATCGAGGGCTGCGTCCTTGGAGCTCCCCCCGAGGACGAGCCGGCTCCTTCCTCGGGTCTGGATGTTGACGATTCCATTCCAGTTGCAACACCGACAGACACGGTCATTTAGGCCTTTGTGCTTGTCCTGTGCGACGGCGGGACAAATTTTTAAACCCTAACAATACCTCGAGCCGCCGTCCACGGCTCGAATCCAATGACGGCGTCGCGTCTCTGGAGAAAACACAGGAGACTCAACGCCTTCGCCCAATCAAGCAAATCCAAAAAAAAAAAAAAAAAAGAGAGAGAATCTACCTTGGGATAAGGACCGAGGTCGAAACTCGTTTCAGTTGCCTGAGAGCGCGATTGGAAAATAGTGGTTTCTGGTTTGCGAAGATTTGTCACTCGAAACAAAGGAAATTTCGGTAACTCATCTGAAAAGTGCAAGTTATATATGAAATGCGAATCGACGGTTACCTCCCCTCGAAACTGAAACGACAGCCCACTCTCTCTCCCCGCATTAAATGCGCCCCCACGTCGCATTAAATGCCGAGATGATAGTCGTCGTTTCGAATGCGTGCGCAACTAATGCTGGCAAAACGGTGTCGTGTCAGCACCCGATACATTAATGTCTGACAGACGCATCAGCGCGTGCAGGTGCCTGACAGTCCAGAACCAGGTTCGTTAAATCTCTGAGGCACAGGAAGGAGTATCCATCAAATCCAGGTCGCTAGATTGTAGATTGTCAGGTCGCTTAGGAATTGTGCAAGATCCTGTTCGCCAGGAGAACCGTGCGAGCTCATCCATTCAGGTGGAGCAACAAAAACTCATACGACTCCGTTTCCAAGGTTCATTCCTCAAACCTTAAAAACTAAGGGGCTTCTATTTGCCTGGGAAGGTAAAGGGCTGACGTGGGAAAGTCACGTGAGGTGACCTGCTCCCGTCAGAGCAACACGCACACGTCAGACCTGCAAATAATATGGAGCTCACACGTGTCCATTTCCCTGTAATAAGTCGTGCGAAGTCAGCTAGAAAAGGAAAATGGGACGTAAAGCCGGATAATATCGACAATCACAAAACCATGGATTTAATGATGATTACACGCTTCAGCTTGATATAATGAAGAAGACCCCTTCATTAGGGATTCGGCCATTTTTCGTACAAGAAATCTCTCTCTCTCCTGTAAACATTTTTTACTTTTTCAACTTATGTAAGAGCCCGCAGTCGCGACCTAACCCACACTAATATCAATACAAATCAGGACGTAGGACTTGCTACCTCAGCATCCGAACACTTAAAAAAATCCTTTGCATTTATTTCGCTTATATATCCATTTTCACGTATATTTAATGGCCAATCAACGTTACGCACCTGAGAATTCGTTGGTGCTTAAACGAGCATCAACACATGTTAACGTTAAGATTATTCATTAATTCATCCATCCATAAATCTCTTTCAACATTATTCTCTCAGTCTACCAATTTAGTTTTTTTGCTTTCAGTTGCTAATTAAAATGGCTTCATTTATTAGTTATACATGTTTATGGTTGTCACCATATGTTGATTATTTGTATCAAAGTGAAGCTCAACTCTCTTCAACAACTATGACTTACATGTCCTAATGTCTCACTACAATCCGCACTGCTATTAGGAATGCCATTTCGAGAGCGTAGATGGCAGCTTCTTCATTCGTTCCATTTTCATGACTGCTTTGTTCAGTATATATAAAGCTTGAAGAGGAATTAAGCAGTTTCTTTTGATCAATTTTTTTATAAGAGTTGGTTAATTAATTGTAGGGCTGTGATGCATCCATCTTGTTGAATGATTCCTCCACAATCACCACTGAGAAAAATGCCCTGCCCAATTTGAATTCAGCGGATACGAAGTCATAGATAATGCAAAGTCTCAAGTGGAGAAAGTTTGTCGGTGTTGTTTCGTGTGCAGATATTCTTACTGTTGCAGCCCGTGAGTGATCATTTGCAGTAAGTATAATATATTTCAAATCATTTTTCTTACTATATACATCCAACTTTTGTGAAAAATGGATTTTTAATAGTGACAATTAAATAGGTTGGTGGACCATCATGGACAGTTAAACTTGGAAGAAGAGACTCTACCACCGCAAGTTTAAGCTCAGCTAATACCGAACTGCCGGCTTTGGAGATAGCATTGATAGACTTATTTCGTGTTGGTGCCAAAGGTTTGAGTGCAAGGGACATGGTCGCTCTTTCAGGTTCGCATACAATTGGACAAGCACAATGTTTCACCTTCCGTAATAGGATTTATAGCAATGCAAGTGATATCGATGCCGGCTTTGCTAGTACTCGAAGACGTCAATGTCCAGCTACCGGTGGGAATGCAAATCTTGCACCGCTTGAATTGGTCACACCCAATTCTTTCGATAATAACTACTTCAAGAATCTTATTCAGAAAAAGGGTCTTCTTGCATCAGATCAAGTACTCTTTAGCGGAGGATCTACTGATAGCATTGTTAATGAATATAGTAAGAACCCAACAAAATTCAAATCTGATTTTGCAGCTGCCATGATAAAGATGGGAGATATCAACCCTCTTACTGGTTCTGAAGGGCAAATACGAAAGTTATGCTATGCTGTTAATTAAATTGCTTTCATATTTTTTTGAAAATTTCAATTGTAAATTGTAAATGTGCTGATTCAATTGATTGTGGTTCATTTTCTAGAATCAATAAGGGACGCCTTAAGTAAGAGTGGCATTCCAGAATGCATACTTCTGTTTTGTATTTTTTCTTCATTAATTTCAAGTGTAATATATAAAAGTTATCGCTGTGTAACTTCTGAACATTCTTTTTTCCGCTTTCATAAAGGATCCAATTTTTTTTATTCATTATGGTTATTTTCCAAGTAAAAATAGCAGTAAAGTACTTGACAAGAGAACAAATAAGCTGATTTTAATTGTCCATGCATGGACGTTCCAAATGATCCAAAATAATAAAATAAAAATCCATAAAAAATTGAACGAAGACTTGCTATTTTTTGGAGGCAGGATGTTAAGGCTTCTTTTATCATGAAGCTGCCATCATGGACCAGCTTAAATCAAATTATATCCAAAACAGTATATCGTTGACATATTGAGCACTATAAATAGTATTTCTAGTTAGATTGTCGGCATCTTGATTTCAAAAGCATTCTGGTCACACAGTCATTCAGAATCTAACAATCTAACAATTTCTTGTGTTAAAATTAACTAGTTGAATTTCATATAAAAACATAAAAATTTGTAAGATTCTCGGCATGAATCTGGTATTTAATTGGTTAACTTCCAATAATGCCTTAATGACTAACCAAAATCCTGATTTTCTTCTTCTTTAACTTGCCTTTTATATTACTCTCATCCTCATGCCATCTTATATTACTCTCAGCGCACAACTAATGGTGGGTTTCTCATTGCTGAAGCAACCGGAGTCTCTGTTACTGCACGAGGGTATTTTTTTATTCTTTATTTTTCCCTTAAATCTCATTAATTCAACAAAAAAATGATGTTAATTTTATCGAGAAATTTATTCGAAGGTACCCAAACACACCTGGAATTTGGACAAAAGAGCAAGTTGAAGCTTGGAAACTGATTGTGAAAGTTGCACATGAGAAGGGAGGCATCTTCTTTTGCCATATTTGTCATGTCCGCCGAGTCTCGAATTATGGTATGATCAAAACTTCTGTTAAAAGTCTTGTAGTGAAATATCGACATTAATAACATGGATATAAAATCACATCACAGAGACACACAATATTTAACATGATTCAGCATAAACTCTTTGCATCCATGGATGAAAGAGATAGTATCATTAATTCGGATATGCAAGAGTACATATATACTTTAAACCCAACATCTAAAAGAGTGGAAACAATCAGAACAAACAAATTATTTTACTTGATTTACTTTCCTTGTTGGATATTTACATCGATTTCATTATAGCATATCAGCCAAATGGTGAAGCTCCAATCTCATGTACCAATAAGGGAGTGACGTCTGGCCTGGAAGGAGGAGATTGGTCACCTCCTCGTTCATTGAGAACCGATGAAATCCCTCAAATTGTTAATGATTTCAGGCTTGCCGCACGTAATGCCATTGAAGCAGGTGACTCCATTTCACATCTTCCCTAACTCAAACAACCCCTTTTCCCTTATTTTGTAACCAAAAATTTAGAATTTCCCAGGTTTTGATGGGGTTGAAATCCATGGAGCAAACGGATACTTGATCGATCAGTTCATGAAAGATAAAGTAAATGACAGAACTGATAAGTATGGTGGGAGCTTGGAGAACCGGTGTCGTTTTACTCTGGAAATAGTTGAAGCTGTGGTAAATGAAATTGGAGCTGATAAAGTTGGCATAAGACTATCACCTTATGAACATTACATGGAAGCTGTTGACTCGAATCCTGAAGCATTAGGCTTGGACATGGCCAATGCACTTAACAAGTTTGGGATTGCTTATCTGCACATAATCGAGCAGCGGAGGATTAAAACTGAAGATGAGTATGAAATTCTGCAGAGTTTACTTCCTATCAGGATGGCTTTTAAGGGTACTTTCATTGTAGCTGGAGGCTACAATAGAGAGAATGGTAACAAGGCTATTGCAGAAAGTTATGCAGATTTGGTTGCATTTGGTCGCCTATCCTGACTCCTTGGCTAATCAGATTTGCCGAAGCAATTTGAGCTACAAAAGAGTTGAATAAGTACGACAGAAGCACTATGTATATTACTGATCTTACTATCGGTTATACAGACTATCCATTTCAGAGAATTCTGCTTAGACATTTCTTATTTAGCTTGCATTTAAAAAATAACAGAATCCTCTTTCAATCCAATGACTAGTCCATACATAGTGAACTGTTGTAGAGAATATAATTCGATAACCGATCTAGATAGAAAAATTATACTTCAACTGATCTAAAGAATACTATGCAATGGTACAGATTTCAATCCAATGACTTGAACCGATTTGGTAACGCTATCGGACTGATAACATAACAGCTTGATTAATTCCAGGAACACCTCGTGCAAGGCTACTTTCTGCTGAAAAATTTACCAATACATACATGATACATCTACAGATACATGGTAAACAGTTCCTTATATTAAAGGTATAACTTATAACAGAATTTTATAGACAATTCTTCTTCCAGCAATTACAGAGGTTCCTGTACAGTGTACACATGTTACTCAACAGAGTTAACGGGGAAAAGACAACAGAAATAAGGTACATCAGGCTGTTAGTTGTAAGATTGGAGTTTCACCAATTACGCTTGATATTACTTCCTTCCAACATAAGCTCCCAATTTAGACAAATCAGGAATCCAAAATGATAGCTCTGATGAACCAGTAACAAACATTAGATTTCCAGGAGCCCATTTTATGACGGGAGGCTCATTTTCAGTACTCATCCAACTCGCAACCTGGATGGAGAACAAAAGAAACAAATGTTACAATGAATAGCAACAAAGTATTAAGCCAAGAGGCAAGAGAATCAAGGAATTTTCTTATCATACTTCTTTTCCGCTCCGTACACTCCAAGCATAAACACTACCGTCACCAGAACCTGCGAAAACCAAGAAAGTCAGATTAGCATAAATAGATCAGCAGGTAATTAATTTATGTTTGTCCATGGTGTGGGATGGACTTGTATGATATTATAAAATAAGTGCCTCTAGTCTACCACCATCCCTCTATTTTGACATTCTAATGCTTGTGTTCAGATTTGGAATAGTAGGATGGGTTTAAATGAAGACTCCTGAATATGAATATAATAAGAAAGCTACACGAAAACATGCGTGCAGCTCCACATTTCAAGTCATGCATAATTTGTAGCACTGACAAGATGGTAAAGAATTTATTAGAGAACCATATACAGCATAAATGCAATAAGCATATTATAAAGTATTTAAATAACTGGAAGGAAATATTCAAACAACATTATTCTGAGTTAATGTCTCCTGAAAAATGAATAGAAATATTACCTGATACAACAAACATTCCCTCTGGGCTGAAAGATGCCTCCAAAGTAGAATTGCTAGAAACTGGCTTCACATTGTATGTAGACAACTAAAACAACAGTAACAACGGCACATTAAAAATCTGGTGACAAGGACTACCAACTTAAGATCTTATCAATTAAATTAAGTGGAAATTTATGTGAAATATTTTAAAGTGTAGGAGGATAAAAAAGAACTCACAAGTGTGCCACGGAATGAATCAAGCACATGAATATGTCCACCCATAGTTGTTAGAAGCATAAGTCTCCCATCATTGCTGAACTGCACAACATTTGCATCTGATACATCTCCACCAACAGAAAAGATTTCAAAAGGACCCTAAAATTATTTGAACTGTGAGAAATGAGCACTAGCTAAATGATTGTTATCAGAAGACAAAGTAGATGCAACGATTAGACCTCTCAAATCCTTTATATATCAATTTTCAACCTTTTCATACTTTCGAGCATCAAACATTCTTATGTATCCTCCAAAAGCCACTGCAAAGACGAGCCCTTGCTCATCATATGCTGTAGCAGGCCTTCCTTGTATGCGTAAAAGACCCTGATACGTGGATGATAGATCATAAATTCAACTGAAAATTAACATATATTTAGTAATGTGCCAACAGAGCCACAAAACCTACCTGACACTTCTCAGCCCGTTGATCCCAAAGCAAAACAGTTCGATCCAGAGAACCTGAGATAAAGCACTCCTTGCGAGAGCACAAGCTAAGTGAAACAACCCTAGAAGCATGAAAACAGATATACAGCCAATATCAGTGAACAATATGTTAGTTAGAAGCAGTCACTTGAGAGTAAATGACATGCTAACATATATCAGAAATCAGACCTGTCATGGTGACCTTTGAAATACCGCAAGTACTTGTTGTCGTGCAAGGAAAGAAGTCGCAAAGATTCTGATAAAATGAACAATATAAATAAGTGTTCCAGAACAGCCTATTAAGACATACACACATGTTCTAATAAACATACCATCCCATCCATTTTTTGATGAGTATATTACTGTTGTAGGTTGAGCGGTAAAGCAAACAAGATCCACTCCATACTTTTTGCTATTAATTGTCTTCAAACATCTGAAAACCAAATAGAGGTTTCATCATTACATGCCAACATCAAAAAAAATGATGGCTGTGTCCAGGAATGCCTATGCCGTAATCAAAAGTACTTTCAAATAACCAAAACCAGATATTTTGTAGAATTTGGCTAAAATAACTTTATAGGATCAAAATGCAAATATGGTAATTTTTAATGAGCAAATTATAATTGTTTTTCATAAAACACTTTTAGATAAGAAGATTACTCAAGTACTCTCAAATTGTACTTGATCGGAGCATTCTCACATTGTGCTTTTCTTGCATAACAGAAGAGCTACTCTTCACTGCCTTTTACAAAAACGCACTTCATTGCACTAAAGACATCTATCATATGTATAAATATAATAGGGATATTACTATATAACAAAGAGAAAAATCCCAGTAACCTTAGCAGAACACAGTCTCTTTCAGTGACATTACACATCACATTAGAAAATACATCATCTAACAAAGAATCCAAATATTTGTCAATAATTCATAACAATTGACAATGCATTCAGTAATATAGCATTTGTAGATTAGGCATATGACGTTTCACGTCACCAAAAACACGGCTTTCTAGTAACATTACCAGTCCAATATCATAGAATGACACATTTAACAAACCGAAATCATTAGAACGAAAGTAGTAACTTACGTAGCAGTGCTAACATCGTACAGACGAATGGATTCATCATCACTAGCAGTCACCAGGAAACTTGATGTTTTGTGGAAGTCCATTGAACTAATTCTCCCATTCTGTTCATAATCACTATTACAAGTTACAAACCCCATAAAATACACCAAAACGACACTCAAATAGCAGAAAAAACGACATCACGAGCTGGGAAATTCTTACATAATCTCTGAACGCCATGCCCACTTCCATGCTTTGAAGAATCTCTTCACTGAGTTCCAACGAGACCTTGTCATCTCTCTCCGATTGAGTCCCTAAACCCAGAAAAGGAAATTCATTATTTAATTAAAATTACAGTTAAACTACGAATTAATAAAAAAATTAGGAATAATTGTACGTACCAACCATGTTTTGTTCTTCTTGAGGCTCTGTTCTTCAGATTACATTGAAAGTTCGGTTTCAATTTTATGGAATGAAGTACGGGAGGAAGAAAATGGATTGTTATAGACGGGCTGAAATGGGCTGGGCTGGGCTGGTCGGGCCCAATATTTATGGGATTAAGACCATTCGGTAACCCTCAGGTTTGCGAACTTCATGTGGTCCAATATTTGCGGTATTACGCAATACCACCCTTGCCGTTAGTTTTTGTCTGATTTTGACCGATAAATGACAAAATTTCCCCTAAAAGCTTGGATTTTTCAAAATTTCCTTTTAAGAGACAAAAAATAAGAAAATTATATTAAATTCTAAAAAATAATGAAATAAAAAGAAATCATAAATTCAAGTATTTGAATAATGTGAATTAAAGTATATTCTTGTTATGATAGTGACTAGAAAAATTCTTACTATGAACCCACAGTCATGAATCTACATCAAGCCTGTGAATTTATAAGAGAATAAAGAAAGGAATTTAAAGAAAGAATTTGAAGAACAAAAATGTCTTTTGTATGGAGTTTGTAACTATTGAGAGTGGGAACATTTTCCCTTTTTATACTTTTTAAATTTTAGTTGAAACTAACAAACTAACAATTAACTGCTTTTCTTAGCTTAAACAAAATAGCATCACTTTGGCTAATACTATTAAACTCCTATCACTTAACAGCTTTACACTTTCATCCCTTTTGGACAGTTAAACCTGGCAAAACGAGCGGGTGAGCTGGGTTGGGGTCGGGTTAATACAGGTATAGGCCCAAAACAGGTCAAGTTATACAGGTCCAAAATATTGGACTTGGACCCTACCCTATACGGGTATGGGTGGACCCATGGGTACCCATTTTTTCTCTCTCTAGTTTTCAATTTTTGTAGTTACACCCCTAAAATTCTTGCAGTTTTCAGTTTTTACAATTACACCCCCACAATCAACTACTCTAAAATCAATTCAATTCACATAAACAAATACCAAACACCATAGAGAAATACATAATCACTAATACACATAAAAAATACCAACGACAATAAACAAATACATAATTACTAGTACACATAAACAAATACATAATTACTAGTACACATAAACAAATACTGAAATACATCATCATGCATCACTAATACACAAAAAGAAACACAAAAACATAAGATAAAATCTTGTCCAGCTCATGTTCATTCCACAATGGGGGTGATAGTAGAGTCTCTTGATTCCGCAATCCTCGAAGTAGTCAATGACACATCAAGATCCTCATCTGAATCAGCATTCACATCATCATCTATAATTATCAACTACAAATATTAATAAATGTAAATAATAAAGCATATGAAATATTATGTTTCAAAATCCAAAGTCAAAAAATAATATATATGAAAGTCCTCATTAGTTTCCACAAAACAGCAAATTAAACATACTGGCAGCCTTCACTTGGAGGAGCAAAACAAAAGCAGGAGGGGTCTTCACTCTTTGGACAATCTTCGTGAAGCTCTTATCTTGAAAACATAGACTACAGTTAGTGAGTGTGATAGAGTAAGTGAATGGTTGAATGCTAA